AAAAATTTTTTTTTTTTTTTTTTTTTTTTTTTTTTTTTTTTGATTAGATTAAAATGATTTGCATTATACACTACCAAAAAGAAAGTAGCATCTTTTTTTTATACATATATACACATATATATAAAATGAACAAAAAAAAATACATATAAACATTTATAATTATACTTTCATATATATCTCTATCTATAACTCAAATGAAGACTATTTACTACTTTTGATTTCGTTTATGAAAACGCAATTTTCTAATGATCTTTGAGAAAAGAGAAAAAAATAAAAGTGGTTAAGCTAATTAATAAAATGAATGTAAAAAATGGTGAACAAGGAAGATGATAATCAATGAAATAATAAAGAATGTGAAAGAGTAAAAATTCGCAAATGATAACTATTGAAAAATGATGATTGCGTTATAATTAGCGAAAAAATTTTATAACCAATGTTCAAAACAATGAATGAATTGTCAGCGATTTTTTTTTTTTTTACACGTCAATGACATTAAAGATAAAATCACAATCACATTCAAGAACGAATTTTTTTAATTAAGACCAAAGACCGAATGTGTCAAGATAGGAGTGAGTATAGAGAGCATAATAAATAATAATTATTATATAAAACATTATTAAGAACTTCATTAAAGTTAATGTAAATCAATAAACAGAGAACGAAATTTTATATTTGTACATACTATGAACAAAGAAATGCAATAAAAATTATCTTACATTACTCTTGCCGTAATGTCATGACAAAAGTAACACCCTCCTCCGTTCACAATGACTCGACTCTTCCATTAAAAATCTTTGAGCCCACTCTGAGCTATATAATGACCACCTTGTCCAAGGCCAGGTCCTAATGGATGATGTGGACCAATTGTTGGATGATGTAATTGTTGTAATTGTTGTAATTGTGCAGGAGTAGCGCCACCTAATCCAGCCAAAGCATTAGCAGTTAAACCACTAGCACCAGCACCACCGGCCCCTGAGGGTATATTATTACTAAGACCCATCAGACTTGACATATTCATTGAATTTACTGAAAGATTTTGCTGTACCGCCTGCTGCAAGCCTGTAGGCGCTAATGAGGAGAGATTGGATGATGATGAACCACCCATGCTACTAATACTACTCATGCTATTCAACATAGGACGTTCTTCTAAAGCATCATATACAAGAACAAATTCTTTTTTGACTTTTTCCCATGACTCAGGATCAAAATAGATATAGTTTCCACGTTCGTAACTCTGCGTTTTTGCAACTGGGTCTGTACCAAACTCTTTTGTTAACCAGAACTGATGTTCTTTATGATATCGCCAATTACGATTATATCTGATGATAAAACAAATATATATTAAATAAAAAGAAAAAAAATAAGGGCGGGAGTCAGGGGGAAATCAAAATTTTTTTTATTGGTTCACTTGCTGATCACAGTCATGTGAACAAAGTTAAGTTAACAACAAAAATTACTCAAAAAAAATTCTGGATTTCCTTTTTTTTTTTAACTGACACCCTCCCTTAAATTTTAAAATGATACTTATAACTCACAATTCTTGAGCTGCAGCTTCTTGTAATATATCTCGAGGCATGCTATAGAAAATGTAAAAGAGCGTTTCATCAGAAAATGATCCTATTTTCGATTGAGCTGGTGGTGGTGGTTGAACGTTATAACAAGACGGTAAATGGTACTCAGGTTCAATTAAACCAGCAACTTGATTATTCTCTGCCCAAGGTGACGTAAATGTTGCGTAAAGTGCACTATAAGATCATATAAATTAATGAGAAAAATAGAACAAAAGTAGAAAAGATTTATAAACACTTACTCTGGTGAATTTAAATTTAATCCTAAAGTTGTTAGATCACTCCCTAATGCCAGCATGCTTAAATCAGGATCGGTCATTCGTATTACACTTAATAAACCGAGTAAACCAAATTCATCTGCCGATGCCACGGACGATGACGACGACGATGATTGGTTTAACGAAGGTGTACCACCTACATTTGATTGCAAATTAGGTATGCCTATTGATGGTGGATATGGCGTACCCGTTAAGGTTGATGTCGTTGAGTATGGCGTTGTTGGAATAGGCCATGTTAATGAATACGCCAACATCGAAGATGAGGATGAAGAAGGATTTTGTTGCATTATTTGTACACTACCTCCGGATTTTGTAGAGAAATTCTAACAAAAATAATTTTCAAAAAAAAAATATATATATATAATGATTGAACAAAATCCGATATCATTCAAATCGTGAGGTAAAAAAATCCATCATGCGTGTAAATTGTAAATTACGATAAATGGTAATAATATTATTTTTACATATTACACACACCTTTTTGTCTTGTTCGGACACGGAATTCATTTGTGATTGACTCGATGGTCTTATTCCGCCTGAGGATCAACATCAAAGGAGCAAAATCTTAATTTTCGTATTCTGCACAAATCCCAATTATTGAGAGTCAAACTTAACTAAAAATACACCCCATATTTCCATTTTTTTTTTAAATTTAAATATGGGTAACGTACCATTGCTTATTCGACCATCCTGAATGCCTGATGATGACATGTCTGATGACATAGTATTTCCATTACTTAATCCATCAACATTATTTTGTTGTTGATGGTTCACCAAATGATGTTGCGATACACCAGGCTGTGAACCAACTACCCCACGATTTCCTGAATTATTCGTTGCACCTGGTAAAGCTGGAAAGTCGTCAATAGTAAATTCTTGCGATGTTTGTTGGTGATGAATTGACCTGTTATCATTTAAAGTAGTATTTGTTCCGGTCTGTGCCGTATTCGCATAGCTTGAACTCATTCCTGTTGCAGATGAGTTATTCGACGTTGTATTTGCACTTCCTAAAGCAGGAAATTCAGACATATCCAAAATATCATTCTGTTGAGAATGCACGCTATGTATTGCACCAGGATATGATGTAAAATTTTGTTGTCGTGTTGAAATGTTTTGAGAAGTTAAAGAAGAACCTGGAGTAAAATTCCATGACGGTACATTCGTTGCTAAAATTAAAATTTAATTAACGTATTGAATTAATTAAATGAATTGATCAAAATTTAAATTATTTTATATTGATCTTTTAAAAATTTCTTGGATCAAAAAAAAAAATTGAATTAATTAAAAATAAAATTATTAATATAATACCAATCCTTCCATTGACTCTAGACATCAATGGATTTCCTCCAGCAGTTCTTTGAGGCATCGAAGTTGGTGGATATGCAGAATTAATTGGACCCGGCCGATTAGCTTGTTGAGCTGGATTTACAACTGCTATTTTTTTTTTTATTTATTTAATTTAATTTTTTTTTTTTTTTTTTTTTAAAAAAAAA